ACCTATACCTATATCTCTTTCACTCTAGATCACTCGATCTACGAAATAATAATTTACACTGCAGAATGCATCTGTTTATATAAAACTATTTTTGAAAATAATTTTCTGATAATTATAATCCTTTATGAGATATTTCAATTAAAGAAGATACATATATAGATTTAGAAGAATATTTATAATGTTTGCATTAATATTTGTTTATAATAACATTTATTAAATAATAAACATTATATATTTTCTTCAACGTATTCGGAATTTTCGATTTATTTATATTTCTTAGCGTAATCGATAATTGTTAACATCTTCTTCACATTTACAAAATCATATGATATAAATGTCATCCGCATAAATGATAAATCAGTATTTGGTTCAAAGTTGTAAAAGGGAACCAGAAATATCCCGCTTTCGAAAACCATTCTACCCCGCTTTCACTTCGACAAACTTTCTTTGTGTCAATTTACCTTAGCGAAAAATTAATTTGCCTTAATTTATATTCAAGAACACGAATTATGCACATACATTATTACACCGAATAACAGGAATAACAGCGAGTTTATATTCACCATTCAAAATTATGAACAATCCCGAACCATATTATTAATTCACATCCATAAATAACAAACGTTTAAAACTCCATTCTCCGTTCCATTTCGTCTCATCCCATTTATATCCCATTTTTAAAACGCCATTATTCGCATTCTACGGATTCATTTAACATCCCATCGTAAAAAAAGTAAACGTAGAAAATACGCGTAATCGGTGGAACTGGTCACCATTCACGAGTTATCCTCTACGAAATTTCTCGACACGAGTGTTCCACGAAAATTAAAAACCCTGTCACCACTCTCCAACACACGCGCGATTGTACAAACTTCCTTCTCATCATTTTCAATTTCCTAATCAACAGCTGTAGCAATCATCATCATCATCATCATCGTCGTCATCGTCATCAGCGTATTTCGAAACGGATTTCATCTCTCTGCAAAGTCTCCTTTTTTTTTTTTCTATTTCTACAACCAGGTTTCACAGGTTTTCTCCCGTTTCCATAATCGTTACGAGAGCACATCGGCACCGATCCCTCCAACCCTTCACCGTTCGTGCCGTTCGACCGGGGCCCGGAGGGAAAGACACAGAGCGGCGGTATTCTTTTCATTTAATTCCCGCGCGCTCTCGCGACCTGTTTAATGGATCCGCGAATACGAGAGAGCCGCGCGAGGGAACGTTGTCCATTAACAAAACTGTCGCGAGATTCGGGCCAACTTGCCGCGTGACGTATCGCCGCGATATTTCAACGGCGAATTAATTAATGAACGCAGTATTTTATCGCGGGCCCGCGAGTCTTGACCTAGTAACAACTGGAATCGTAACTCAAGTGATGGAATACGTTTCGAATATATTCGGTAATTAAATGGCAAATTTGAAGCTCTTGGAATCTAATTTTTCCGAAGCCAAATATTCTTGAAGATTTTGAAAGTCTTCAATGTATTTTTATTCTATTTTACTCGTATCATATTTATTCGTTTTTAAAGATGTCCTCTAGTAGTGGTGAATTGAAATATGTATCGTATTGTATGAAATATCGTTTCGAATAAATATCTGATTCGGAAGAGTATTAACAATTTTCTTGAAAATCTTGAAAGAAACTTTTTATTTATATTATTTGCTTCTTATTCGATTTCTCTATCGTGCGTAAAAGGAGAAAAACGCGGAAAAGATATTACTTATACAGAGAAGAACTTTCAAGACATTTGTTAATTTTTAAGTCTTGAATTAACTTCGAAACGATTCGAGTTTTAATCGATTTGTGAGAAAAGTCATTAGAATCGCGTCAATATACGTCTCACGAACAAGAATATATTAACAACTGAACGATAATCGTCTCCTTTTGGCTGGGCCTTCATCAATTTTGAATTTACGCTGTTAAATGCGCGTTAGATATACCGTTCCAAGTACTGAGATCAACTTTGTTAATTAAAGAACCGGTACGTTGTCGGTCATAGAATATCAATTATGCATTAAAACAGTGAATTTTGATATTCGAATAATTTTCGTGTTTTATAACAGATATCGATTTTGGGGATGAAATTATCCAAAGGCAACTGACGATTAGATCGATAGAGAAATTTTGTCGAGAATTTTTAAGGAAGTATTTTATAACAAATTTCAATAGATATAGATTTAAAAATTAGAAATGTTTCGTAGAGAAATATTAAGAGGCTTGGACATAAAGAAATTGCGTACGTATTTATTTTATGACGCTAGTTTTGGATTATTATACTCGTACACCGGTTACTTCCACGAAGTGAAATTCATAATGATGCTTCACTTTTTTTATTTACCACGTTACATTGTTATAGCGTAGAATTTTTTACTTGTGCTCATATGGCTTGCATTACTTAATCCAATTAAGTTACGGCAAGCCGTGAGAATTAAATACTTGTCATTGTTAATTATAACAAAGGTATTTAAGTATTTCGTATAATCAAATTTTTCAATCTACCAACAATGCTGATTAAATATTACGGATATTTGTATTTATCAAATAAATAAAATTGTTTTTTTCTTTCTTTTTAACGTAATGAATTATATATGATTTTTTTCACGGTTATCCAGATATAAATTTCTCTATCGATTCGACGATATTTGCCAATGGCGGGGTCGCAGTCAATTTTAGCGCAGTTTAGACAACGTTTTGTCACTCTTGCGTCGCGCAGTTTACAGCCTGACATACCGTGTAAATCAGCTTTAAATCAACCTGACGTGGACGAGAGGAGACCGAAAATGAAACCCGAACTGTCCAAAACCAGAACCCGTCATGTTCATACTGGCTAGCATCGAACCATATGTCACTAACACATTCTGCATTCTCTCCTTTCGAAAGTATGAAATCATATATTTATTTGGTATTTTATCTTCAATAATTCGATAATAAAATAACGAAATTCGATTTCTTCTTTTATCCGATCGATTATGCGTATATTATATAATGAAAATTAACTAAATTTTAAGAATTTAAATTCAAACTAGATTCACCATCGTGTGACATTGATGAACTAACGTAAAGACGACTATCCAGATAGTCAAGCACAGTTTTCGACAAGTGACAAAGTATGATCGTCGATTGAACGATCATCTTTCACGTTGATTTATCACCTATATAAAACCAGTTTCTAATGAAACACGCACACTCACTTGCCAATTATAATAATTCATTCTCTTCTAAATGAAATCCTTATAGAACAATCACGGTCAATCATTATCAATTTCAAGAATAGAGACGATAATTTAAATACCTTAATTATATCTTTATACGAATAACATTATTTTATATTGTCATTCGTGATTCTCTAAGCAATTTCGTTTTTTCTTTTTCTTTTTTTTACAATATATTTTTCATTATCATCTCTCGATTACACGCATAATCTGAAAAATTATTTTCGGCCATTACACCGATCGATAAATCGACATTCACTTTCAATAGGACGATGAAAATCGGAAAATCTTATCAATTCACTCTCTCATCCATGGAATCCTTACACATAGTGACAAACTTCACACTTGTCGCCACAAAATCTGCAATCACTTGTTCAACAATCGATAAATCGCGTATACAAAGGCAACAACAAATCGATCAACTTTATAGGTTACGAGTTTGATGTCACAAATATTCGTGCGCGATGCGAAAGAGAAAGAAACCTGTGAAATCTGTGGAATCTCCCAAGTTGAAACAAGTCGTCAACGAGGACAGTTGGCTCAAACCTTTGGAGGCGATCGCGATCAACGACGACGAGTGGTGGTGCATGGTGATCATGATGGTCGAGACGATCACCGACCACGCGAGATGCGTGTCGTTCTTCAACTTAGCCGCCGAAGAGGGTAGGCGGAAAGCCATTTATCCTTTGACGTGTCAGAAAATGCTGGCCAGCGTGAAAGCGTTGTCGAAGCAGAGCCTGGATAAAATTCCAACGATTCAGGGGGTTTGTCATTACGCGAACAAGACTCTGGAGGCCGAAAACGAAACGCTGCCTACCTGGCTGATGGCATGGGTCATCAAGTACTTGATATATCGGGCCAGGGAGGAGAACATCGGCATAGTGAAAAGACTAATCAACCTGGAGCGCGAGATAGACGAGGAATATTGGATTATGCAGACAGTTGAGGACTGGGGTAGGCGAATCGGTGAATGTATCGATTTTAACCACTTCGCGTACAGAATGGTGTCGCTAATGTCTATGGGAAAGTAATTAGGAAGCGAGGAAATGGTACGTGGGTCGATACTAATTATGCCAATAAGAGCAAAATACGAGTGGGAAAATAATTTTTTAAATGAAACAGTTTCGGTGAAAATATTAGCGCGATTTATTTCATTAAGTCATAAGCCGTGTTTCAAACTTACGTCGGATGGAACAAGTTTTAATTCGATTTACGGTTTTTTGTTGTATTAAAATCTTTTGATGCTTGTTTTGATTTCTAGAATCAAATATGTCTCGCTCAAACGTATCAACATCCTATATCGAATCGATGAAAAAGAAAGCACATGTTATTACGAGCATTGAACAGTTTCGATAGTTTGTATTATAAACGTCTACATATTTTTTCCTTATTTCTAATCGAATGAAAAAATGAATCTCCCTAATGATACTCATTTGTGATATTCCAGTTCTCTTGAGCACGTTAAAAATAAGAGGTTTTTTTTTTTACATATGTTAAAGATAATAAAAAGTTTGGAAAATTTCCTTTGATTCTTTCTGTCAAATTTAAAAATCTATAAAAATCGAGTAAAATACTTTCAAAGATATTTTCTAGATATAATTATAAAGGATTATATCCAATTTTCAATCCAATTATGGACACAAATAATTATTATTATTTCGTAACACAACGAAAGAGAACGAAAAATTAATTTTCCACGCCGAAAGAACACGGTCCAAATTAAATAATTTGAAAGCGAGAAAATAATTGATTAAACCTTCCAATTTACGATTGCTCGCTCGTTACGTATGTCGATCATCGTCTCGACAGGGCCACATTCAAAGAAGTTCAGTTTGGATCACTTTGAGAAGAAGGCTAACACAAAATTGCGAAAACGCAACGAGGAATGGCGGGATGCCGTTTACATCGATGATGCGCCAATCGACGGACCTAACCTCTACATAATCCTCACGGGTTTCCACGATCCAGATCTACCTGGACAATTGAAAAGCATTGGCGTGCCAATATGTTGCATACTGCAGATCAAACGGCCCACCGAAGAATTGAATCCCAACATAGAGGAAGAAATAATGGACATCGATTCCGAAAGCAAGAAATTAGTCTTTTTCGGAAAGTATACCGTGACTAAGAGCAAATTGTACAACTTTTGGACAACAATAGAGAAACGATTGCGCGAAGGCGAATTGTATCCAGAATATCACGACATTGGATTCCTCATATTCTGCCCACCGCGATATCCAAAAACCTTGGATAGGAAAGAATACGAGGCTAACAAGAAAGACATATACAACAGAGTATCGTACATTCTGTACGATTTTTACGATCTTTACAGGCAACATGGTAAATATTTGAAAAGTATGAAGATAGAAACGAGTATCTTTGATAAGAGAATCGAGAAACCGGATCTGAAAGTTTACGAATCCTTTATGAAAGCGTTCGACAACACATTTCTTCCGGAATGTGTTTTACTTCCGTTGATAATGGTTGCAATGTTAATGCAAGTTGAAGAAAATGAAAATAAAATGAAACAGACCGTTAAGGATATAAGCGATACAAACGATATAAAGATCAAGGAAGTAAGATAATCCTTCTCATTCCTGACTTCACTTCGAGTTCCTAGATTTATATAATCCAATTGTATTAATTCGAATATATTTTTAAGTTAAATTATCCACTTAATTCCCCTATTTATTATATCTAAAATTATTATTAAACCGAAATAATATTATTTTACACCGCACAGGAATACACGGAGAAAGATGTGACAACTGAGATAACTAGGGAATATCTGATATCGTACATCGAAGAAAAGTTGAAGACCCTCAACCTTAAATACGGCCTCGATGACGAAGAGTATGACAAAAATCAAACCGATTACAGCGTAATCGACATTGATCTAATCCTTCACGGAAATAAGATCCTCGAGACCATTGTCGATATCTCCGCGATTCCTTTCTTGCTGAAACCGACAGACTTAATCGACAATATTATACCCATATTACGGCATCCGGTTGTAACGAGTGTCCACGAGAACAACAAGATCACCGAGAAAAAATTGAACATTTATTCTCGTCACATGGAAAATCTTCGATATTGCTTCGACTTTTCGATAAACAAGGAGAAAATCAAGCATTACTTGCACATATTGATGTTCGACAAAATATTGTTCGATTCGAAGGTTAAAACAAATAAGGTTAAAATTTTGGAAAGAACGAAGAAGGAGGATCCGATGTACGCGCAAGATCCGATAGAACGTTGTAAATCTTTACCAAGCCTGTACTCAGAATCCATGTGCAAAGTTTACTTTCTCAGCGATTACGGGAACATCGATTACGGGAAATTGTTCCCACAAATCGTCGAATGCTCGCCCCTGTTCGACCTGGTGGATCCTCGGGAATTGTTAGTCCCTGGTTACTTGGAGGAGAACGTGTTCGCCACAAGACCGGTTAACAACTATCGTCTCGAAGACTTCAACGACGTCGAGCTATTACCGGAAGTGATTTTTCTTCAGCTTGTTTACCAGTGTCTACTCGCTTTCGATCACATAGAATTTCAATACTTTGAACCCACGGACTCTCTGTTACTCTACTTCCATAACAAATGGAGGATCAATGATGTGAGCGAGGAGGAAAGAATTTCTAGCATCCGTACTCCGTTACGATTCGGTGATTTCTGCAAATACGTGGTGCCCGAGGAGCAGCAATGGCTGCGCCAAGAAGAGGAAGAGAACAGATTGGAAACTACCAGGGAGATGGAGAGATTGATGACGAAGAGCGCGAAGATATACGACGAGACCTTGTCCTTCCACGATGAGGATTTCATTCTACCTGGGACGTTGAAAGCGAAATATGACATCTACGGTGATCTTAATAAGCAGAAAACCAATAGAGATTTAAGTGAGTTTCGGATAGTAAATTGCCAGATTGCACGCGGTTAAATTGTTAAATTGAATCGGTAATGGGAATACACGAATAACAAATTTTCATTTCATTTTGATTCTCTCATTTCGTATTTTAAATGCAATTATGAAAAATTTATTTCTTGAAATCGATGCGATTGAAAAAGCAGGATCACTAGGATTCCTAAATTATCTTCAATTTAAATTTTCGTTAAATTCCTTCAAAATATTAAAACAATTTAATTGAACAATAACAATAAAACAAATTTGAACGATTTAACGTTAAAAAGAATTAATTAAAAAAAAATTCAGTTGGAAGCCAGTTATCCTGTTCGAGATTTTGAAGATTAGACACATCGTACGAAAAATTCACAACCGTCTTTCATAAATATAGTGTCCTATTCCTCTACTACAAAGAGTGGAAGAAGGGAGTCGAAGAAAGAGAAAAAGAAAAACGATAAATTGTCCAGTCGAAGAAGTTTAAAGTCGAACGACGAACAATGGACTTCGATACAAGATATTGAAAGGGAAAATCGTTATGACTTTATAGGCTATGCTCTTTCAGAATTACGTATGCAAGTATCGAATCAGAAAAAGACATTTTTTTCGGCCGATGATACTTTGGTACAAGTCGATCTAGAGAATTGGCTGTACAAGAGCAAACGTTTGTACATTACTGTTACTTTGAATGGATACACTTTACGATTATCCCGTAGAATCGACATTCAGGAAATGACCGAGGTATTTCACTTAACGAGTCGATTAGGAATCGTTCTTACGTTTCAAATGCTACTAAATTTCCCAGGTAAGAATCTCATCGTGATATATTTATCGTAGCGATTATAATATTATACATGATTAAATATAATTAAAATATGCCAACATATATTAAATTATACATATATATATATATATATGTAGGAAAACATGTGCATGATATGAACAAAGTGACTATCAAATATGCATGAAATATGCATGATCGATATAAGTGTTTATAAACTCGTACAAAAATTAGAAGTGATATAGTTCGGTATCGTGTTGATTTGAAAAGTTAAGCTAAATTAAACAACTTTCGAATCAATGTATTTTTCTAAATTGATTCAAAATTGTTATATTTTATTTCTATCTTATATCGAAAAATATAAAAAAACAGTGATGACACAAAACATATATAAAAATAATATAAAATTAGATTTACATACTTTTTTACATTTAATTTTCTCCTATATTAATCATTTGGTATCGTGATACTATTACTTTAGATGTAACAAAGAATCCTAATTCCGATTGGCAAGATACAAGGTTCAAATACAGAATCTCGACACCCGCCGGTTTATTCGTAGAACCGGTAATTGTTGATTGGCCGGATAACCCGTATTATATCAAGCAATCGTATTTGCAAAACGGATACATTGACAACAAAAACAATCGTGAAATCTGTAGAAAATTTTTGAGAAATGGAACTATTTTAAAGTATCTAGATGATGGAAGAATAATTATTTTTCGTTCTAACGGGATAATCGTAACTTGTATATCTTTTGAGAAAATTGACATCACTCAACATGACTATGATCAAATCAACTTGAGAAACGATATAGGTATTTGCAAAAATATTAGATTGAAGACGAGAAATAATATTGAAACAAATAATTATTGATATTAGCTCGTTAAAAATATATTTAAAATTAAATTATATTGTTAAGGATTTCATTTAATATTTCATTTTTAAAGATATCAAATCAAAAGAGCTCAAGAATCCAAAAATTAAGAAGAAAATAGCAAAGTTTCGTTCGACGGAGGAAGAATTAGAAGAACAGAAAATAACGGTGAGTGAAATAGTTATTAAATTTTAAAAGAATGATTTGATCTATTAAGACAAGTTCTTGGAAAACATTGAATTCATTGGCACTCGTTAATATTATAAATGTTACCGAATTAAGATATAATTACAAATAAAAGAGCAAAAAATAATAAAAATGTTGATTTTCGTATTGAAAATTAATAAAAAAGATATAATTTTATACTAAGATCTATAATTATGCATATCTTATATACCATTTCTTAGAGAAACACTGATACCCTATTTAATATATTTAATCTTTTATCTTAAAAACGAAAACAAACCTTTAAAATTATAAAGTATTTTATAAATATCTAAAGAAAAAAAAAACTTTCATTTCAAAAATGATACGCCTTCAGGACAGCTAATATCAAACTATATCCATTTTTCTCCACTTGCAAAATTGAAACGAAAAAGAAAAAAATCTTAAAATTATGATACTATGATATACTGTAATACATAAATATTTAAAAACAAGATATTAAAAAAACACTGATGAACGTTTTCGTTTTCGATTCAAAGCACGACATGCCTTCAGGAGCCTGAGGTGTTAAAGCAGATCAAAGTGTCACGATACACAGTCCTGAATTACGATGGCGAACAGTACGAGGTGTGCAACGACTTGGTCGTAAGTGACCAGCATCGATTACTAGTGAGATCGGCATCGGACTACGAGGTCAACGAGAAATTCACGCGTCGCGCTGATGGTACCAACATGTTGCTGAATTCCAATGGAGAATTGATTGTCAGATTTCCAGGTATGTTTCAGCATGCTTGCCACTTTGCGGAACGGATTCCAATTTCTGCACCCTATTATACGATTTCAATGAGATCGGAATTTATAAGCCACGTAGAAATTCAATGCTCGATGAACAAAGGTTACTTTATAATCTTATTATCTTTAATCTTTTGTAACGATATACAATGATTAGAAAATATATTTTTCAATGAAGCGCACTTTTATCATGTTTTATATTTTATTTCCTAATTTTTATTATTTATGTGAAGATATTATTAAATGACACGGAATATAATGAATTTAAACATATTAATCGTTAAATACCGTAATAATAATGGAACATCTCTAGACGAAATATTTGTCAATTCATTTTTTCAACGAACTTTATTTAATTTAATATCGATACTAGCCAATTTATATACAGCTTTTTATCCCTGACTATTAAAGTAGAATCGTTTGAAATTTGTAATATTTCTTGTTCTTTTTAATAAAAATTGGAAATAAATAATTAATATAACGAGTATACATTGATATACAGCCAGACGATATGCTACAATTAACGAGCAGTAGATCGAAGTAAGAATAATTTGCTAAGTTTCTCGAGTTTTACTTACAATTAGACGAAATTGCTCTGAATTACGATCGGAGAACGATCATCAAACTAGCGAAAGTTCGTGACCTCTATTCTAAATTTCCCTTCCCTCGAGTGAGAAAAGAAAAAATAAAATTAAAAGCTAGTAGAATCATTACATGAAAGTGCAATCGACGCGCAAGTTCCTCAAACGTTTGTAGAAACTGCATTCAACCGAGCAAACAAAATACGGTGGAGATGAGGAAAGTTCAGATGAAAGTTTATGAACTTGGTTTTCGTATACGTTATACGAAAATACCTTGTATAATACAACTCGGCCTACGAACCGTTGCATGATTTTACAACAACTGGCTGTGAGATAAATATTTACCACTGTGAAGTTTGATAACGCTAAATCATCGTGACGCGTTTAACAAAATTATATGTATCTATGTAAAATGGATCGATATACAAAAAAAAAAAAGAAAAAAAAGAATTTATTTGTTATCAAATAGAAAATATAGAAAATATAGAAAAAGAATATTAAATTTTCAATAATCCATATCGATATTTATCCATAAAATTTTCATCATTTTGATATTTTTACTTGTGAGAAAAACAATTAATTTTAAACTGTACGAATTAAAATTATATTCCTATAGTTTAAAGAGTGTAAAGAGCTTATGTATTTTTCCATAACGAATATTTTGATATATGAAAAATATATATTAGTATGTTTTATCGATACTCATGAAAGTATTCAGTTTGTTTTATTTATAAGCGATTCATGGAAAGATATAAAACCCAGGAAAAATTTTATCGGTGGCAAAACTGGTTTCAGATAAACGTGACTTGCAGCTATACAAGACTTGAAATATTTGGATGTACATATCTTGACTTTTCAGTTTATGAAGTTTATGAATAAATACATAAACTCTTTAATAATATAAAGCTACCATTTTATTGTCATCTTCTTTCATTTCTATTCATTTCTTTCCTCGATGACAAACTTTTTCCTCATCGACATTTTTTTAACTATTAATTATAATCACTTATTAACAGAATTAACAATTATAATTTCACAATTGAATTAATGAAATTTTTTCGATTGAAACATCAATCAAGGTAAAGTTTTAGACACGTTCACAAATGGATCCAAGAATATACTATGCAAACTTCTTTTCCTAATCTTTCGAATTTATTCTCAGCCGCGTTTATATATATATATAGAGAAAGAGAGAGAGAGAGAGAGAGAGAGAGAGAGAGAAGAACGAAGCTCTACTAATTAATTT